TAACACTTTAAAAATGTTGTTCCATTGTCTTCTGGCCTCCACAGTTTGTGAGGAGAAATCGACAGTCATTCAAGTGGTTTTCTCTCTGTAATGTGTCATTTGTCTCAGGTCGCTTTCAAGATTTTTTCTTTAGCTTTGGTTTTCAGTAGTTTTTGTATGATGTGTTTGAGCATGATTTTCTTTGAGTTTATCTTTTTTGAGGTTTGCTGAACTTCCTGAATCTGTAAATTTATGTTTTTCCATCAAATTTGGGCAGGTTTCAGCTATTATTTCCTGAAGTTTTCAGTTTTTTTCTGTACCAATCTTTTTCTCTTCTCCTTTCAGCACTCCAGTGACATGGGTGTTAGACCTTTTGTTTTTGTATCACAGGTCTCTCTATCATAGTCCTTGGAGATATATTCTTTCTTTTTCCTCTGTTGATCAGATTAGATTATTTCTAGTCATCTATTTTCAAGTTCACTGACTCACTCCTCTGTCATCCCCATTCTGTCCTTGAGCCAATCCAGTGAAAATTTTATTTCAGTTGTTGTTTTTTCCAGTTCTAAAGTTTCCACTTGGTTCTTTTTTTTTTTTTTTTTGACTGCAATTTCTTTGCTCAGAACTGGTCTTTCCATTTATTTTAAGAATGTGTACTCTTACTTCATGGTTATAATAGCTGCTTTAAAATATGATAATTTCAACATCTGCGTCAAGCTTGCTGTCTTTTATCTTGAAAATTGTTGGGATTTTCCCGGTCCTCTGTATATTGAGTAATTTTGGACTGTATCATGGACATTTTTAATGTTATGTTGTGACACTCTGGTCCCGTTAACATCCTTGGTGATGCGTTGACGGATTGATCTTTTTTAGGCAGGCAATCAACCCATTTAGTTTCACAGTGCAAGTCCTGACCTGCCTTCTGTGGTTTCAACATTGGTTCAGTTCTCAGAGCCATCGTAGCTCTATCAGGTGAGCCCATGAGTGCAGCATGCAGGAGACAGTCTTAACTACACTGTAGTAAAGCTCTCAAAGTGTTCACTGTGCTGCTCTGGGTCAGTTTCACACATGTGCGCATCACAGGTGAACCTGGAACTTCCTTCATTCATTTGGGCGTCCCTTCTTCTAGCCCTCTCTATGATTTCTCCCCACACTCTCCAGCACTCAGGGACCCCTTTTGGTTGGACAATCTTAGGTTTTAGCCATTCTGTGCTACTGAGTGCTTCTCATGACTGGGTCCCCCTCCAGGCCAACATGGTGAGATAAAAACGAGAAAGAGAAAATATTGTGGATTTCTCCAATCCTCCTTGAACACAGGGACCCCTTTTACCATCTCCTCTGGTTAGAGAGAAGAATTTCAGTTGTGGGTACCTACTTGGCCAATACTATTGCTGGCACCACCAAAGAAGTGCAGTTTGGTAACTGGGTTTGCCCCAGATTAGGAATGAGACAGTAAAAAGAGACAAGAAAGGGGGGATTCCCCCATGCTCTTTGTACTTCAGGGGCTCACCTTCCTAGTTCTTCGGTCAGAAAAACAGACTTTCTTTTGGAGATTTTTCTGTCCATATCCACCGCACAGTTCCAGAATTAGGACTGCCTTTAAGCAGCCGTTAAGTTGGAAATATGGGAGGAAAAAAGCCCATGAACATCACCATTATGTAAGTCATTCTTCAAGTTTTGATTTCCCTCTCCATAAGCCTCCTATTATTTACTTTTTACTGTCTTCAGAGAGTTGCTTTTTGTATTCTGTCTAGAGTTTTTGGTTGTAACCAGTGGAAGAGACAGGATGAAGTAAGTATATGTGTCTACTCCATCTTAACTGGGTCATCACTCATGCCTCAAGGAGTCCCCGCTCTCTGGTCTTCTTGGCTGAAGTGCCCCAGACCCCGCCCTGGTCCATCATTCTCAGTCACATGCAGTAGCTGAAGTTATCTGATTCACTTAATTTTCCATGTGTTTGCTGTACATTCCTGCCATCACAGGATGAGCTCCTTGAGGACATGGGTTCTGTTCACCATGCTCATCATTGTGTTTGTAGGACTTAGAGCTGCACATTGTATGTATTTGTGACTGACAGTCTGGCTGATAGGAAGGCTGGATCTGACTGATTGTCAAGATCTAAAGAGGCAGACAATAGGAGAGAAAATAAGTAACTTCTGGAAAAGGCCACAGAAAAACCTTCCAATCTCTCTAGAGGAGACAAGGATATAAAATGGTACAGAGGAGAAATGAATGGGAGATAGGTAGGAGCTCCTGGTTTGAGCACGAGTCACTAAGAAAAATAATCCAGCATCATAGCCTGGAAAAGGAATTGGGTAGGGAGGCTGCTTGGACATGTGTCTAGACAGTGAGATCAGCTTGATAGTGAGTTGACTTTGCAGAGATAGAACACGCCTCTCAGGATCTCCATCCTTCTGAGGGAAGTCCAGGTGCGTCGTCTGGGTTCAGACAGGATTTACGAGGCACCTAACGGTGAAGGCAGGGGAATAGGCCTCGTGAGGACCTACAGTCCTTTTAAACAATAGTTGTGAAAATGCAACATAATCCACCCAACCTTCCAAAACCTTAGTGGTAAAGTAACGATAGAAGATTAGACTGCTGTACCTTTGGATCCTTTTCCACCCTTGAAATTCCATGATTCTGTGAAGTCCTGTAGACAGTTGGAGACGGAATGGAGAAGCAGGTAGGTTACCGTGCTAACGGCACAGAGTGTGGGCAAACGGCGTCCAGGTGGTAGCTGGGGACAGGAGCGGGGATGACCTCTCAGAAGAGTACATAAGCTTTGGGGTGGAAGGAGAGAGGAGTGGTCGAGGGGGCAGGCAGAGAGGGAGAGTCACTCACTGAGGGCACACATTTGCCAGGTGGTGGGTGTTCCAACCCATGGTGTCATTTAAAGAGCAGCATCATGACAGTGACTAGAGAGAGGGAGATGGATAACAGCGTCACACGTTAAGCCAGCAGAGACCCCGGACTTGGTAATATAGAAGCAACTGGCGAATTTAAAGACTGTGTGTATTTGGGGGGGTCTCAGTCAGGGGAGGTGTGCCACCATATTTCACCTGTGTTCCCCACAAGCTGGCATCTGCCAGGAGAGAAAATGAAAGTGGGCATGACCTCATTTGGTCCATTTCAGCAGCGACATGGGAAGAGGGAGAAGACCCCGCCCAGCTGCAGCGGGTCCTCAGCACCTGCCCACTGAGGAAATGCAAGAATTTTTGTTTGCCAAACCACAGGAGTCAAAGTTTATGTAATTCACCAAAGAAGCGCTGGTCTGAATAAGACCCTTTCCGTGTGACACATGGGTCAACAGCACAGTGTGGGCTTCTGGGGTAATGAGGGCCATGGTGTTGTTGGTGACCAGTACGGAGCACTGTCAGTCATCAGGGGACCTGAGGGGTGGTCCAGGATAGCTGAGACCAGCAGCAGAGTTTCTTAGAAAGGATTCAAAGGAGAAGCCACATGAAGAGCAATGATTACTGCTTAATTTGTTGGTTGCAGTACTGTGTCCTGCTGTCTGCTTTTAAAATGTAGGACAGTAGTGGGATGTTCCAGGAGGGCCTTCTCTGGGACGCTGCAGGCTTCACTTTCCCCAGGACCTCACACAGTGCCTGGCACTCAGCGGTGCTCAGCAGAACTGCTCCGGTTGAATTGAAATAGACACGTGAAGTGAAAAGAAGATCCTGCGCGTGTAAAAACCATGGGTGGCCCTCACCTCTGTGAAATGTAATATTTAATGGATCCTTTCCTCTGAGGAGTGAAGGTAGAGGGGCTACCAAAACTGTAGCTTCAGACGGAATGACAACGGTGAGAAAGGCTTTCCTCTGGCATGGGAGGACCCTGAGCTTCAGTGCCAGGATTCCCGGTACTGGCTGTGCAATTTTTGGAACGCGATTTCACCTCTCTAAACCACAGCATCCCCTTTTGCAAACTGGGGTGGCAATGCCAGCACTGCTGTGAAAACCCAGATTCGGTAGTTCCAGCCTGACTGGTCACAGAGCTTGTGGAGGCCACGATTACCCTAAAACCACAGTGCTCCCCACCTGGCATCACATACAAAGGGTCAGCTACAAAGCCGCGTCTTTGGGGATCACATAAAGCTTTGACTGTTGCATTTTCTCAACTGGCGGCCTCCTGGTTGACTTTAGATTTTTTTTCCTTACGAGCAGCTCACCTGCTGGAGCATGAATAACACCACTTCTTTAAAAGGGCGACGTGGGGCTTGTGTGCTGTCCCCACCCTGGTTTTCCAGGTTCCCTGGAGGGGAAGTTCACGTGACGGTCCCTGTGGGGCCTCGCTCAGGTGTCCCCCTTACTCACCCTCAGGCAAGATGCACTGATCACCCACGTGCCTGTGCGCAAGCGTGGTTCCAAGCAAGGCAACCGAGGAGAAAGAAGTGGCAAAGGGTTTTACAGGGTTTCACGTGCCCCTAATTTGTTTTAGTGATTGGAAGAATCCAGGGCACCCCAAACTCCTTCAGCCACAGTCTTCGCTGCGCCCCGTGGAGGCCTAGCCACAGTCTTTTTTTAAAGTGTCCTTGGCGCCCATCGTTCTGTGACTAAACAGAGTTTTGATCATTTTACATCCCACAGACCTAACCTTTGAACATGAGCTGAGACTCAGTCTGTAGGTCACGTTCCCACAGTGTTCCTGGACTGTTAGCTTTGGTCTGCGTGATCACGCCAACGTGTACGTCCAGAAATAAAAGTTTTTAGTTGTCTTCATCTGAAGACAATGTTATAGTGTGTTTTTTATCCCTCTGGGAATAAATGAGCCCTTTTTGTTTTGTGAACTGCAGGAAAAGTTGAACAGCATTTATCTGGAAATAAGCAAGTACTCCTAAAATTTAAGATTTCCCTAACATGCAGCTGGGGAAATAAGACTGTATTTTAAGAATTAAGTTAGACCAGATGTGAAATAGCAGACTTTAACGCTATCTTTGAAACAAACCGGGGTAGGAGAATCCCTTGAGAGATTAATGAGTCCATTAAATTTAAACAGATTCTTTTTTTTTTTTTTCTTTTAAGACCAAAACAGAAGGTTGCAGATTCAGAACTAGCTTGTGAACAGGCTCATCAGTATCTTGTTACCAAAGCAAAAACCAGATGGTCAGACTTGTCTAAGGTAAGAAAATGATTATTTCCTTAAAAGGAAAGGGAATCGATTTCAATGTTCCAGGATCATTGTGACGAAGGAGCTATTTTCCATCCAGTCGCTAAGATGGCAAAGCAACTTTGTATAGCAATTTAGGGACTCCTTTTCTTCTTAAAATACTTTTTCAAAATAAATTCTCACATTCGAGGTCAATTGATCTTTAGAAAAATAAGTAATTTTAAGAGTTACATGGACTGAAATTGCTGGCTTTATCTCAGGTTTGATATGAGTTAAAAATTTAAATGAAAAATGTAAGATGCTATCATTCTTGTTTTTACACCGTTATAAACATGCTTTTTAAAGAGGTATTTCTTCCTGTCGTGCTAAAATTATAGAAAGCATAGTTTGAAGGTGAATACCCTCCATGTGCAGTTGTGTAAACTGTGATTATGGTGTCAAGATGGGAAACATACTCTTAGCAATGGCAGCTGTACCTGCAGGACAGTAGATCTGAAATGCAAGCGTGGGTCATCCTGAGGTCTAGGATATGGGGTCACCACTTCTCAATGCAACAAGGACACAAAAACTTCATTTAAAAAAGTATTTGTATCCTGCATTATGGAAGTATTTTCACACTATTCTGAAGAATGTCTCCACTTTGTTTCACGTGGTCATTTTCTATCTATGTTTGCTCTGTCTTGGCCTGTGCCCGATGAGAAGTCCCGCTTTTAAGTCCTGTTAAGCACCCGGGCTGCCTCACAGCCTTGACTGTGCCAGCCCAGGCCGGCAAATCACACAGATCGAGGCCGGGCCAGCCTTCCAGAGCAGTCCTTTGGGTCACACTGATCGAGGCCGGGCCAGCCTTCCAGAGCAGTCCTTTGGGTCGCGGAGTGCAGGGCAAGCTCTGGATTGTAAGCAGCAGCCACACAGGCCACAGCAGCGCCAGCCGGGGAGAGGGCAGAGCTGGCCACCTGACCACCTTCCCGTGTGCCCGCCCCATCCCTGCTTCTCTCTGGCCTTCAAACCCCCTCAAACCTACTTAAGAAAAAGCCCCTTCTCCCCAGCGTGCCTCCCCTCTCAGCTGCCCTGCCCTCCTTCCCCTCATGGGAGCAGCCCCGCCCTGTGGTCTGACTCCAGGGACTCCCGAGGGCCACGGCCAGGGCCCTTTGCAGCTTCATCCGACCCCGCTTTGACTTAGCACAGACTCACTGAGCAGGGGTTTGTGCGCCGGGTTCAGTGGTAACCAAGGCCTTTCTGCTCCTGCCTGGCGGAGCTCACGAACCAGGGGAGGTGACAGATTATTAACAAAGCAGATGGGCGCTGGAAGGAGCAGGCCACTGGGAGTGGCCAGAGGCTGTGGAGGCCTTTGTTTCTGCCTTGTTCAGTCCATCCTTCCTGAAACGCCTCCACCCCCGGCGCCATGACACCCTGCAGGGCCCCCTCCCCTCCTGTCCCGGCCTCCTGGCTGGGTGACGTCTTCCCCGTCAGTGTGGACTCTCACTCCACCTCGATTCCATGGCCTCTCGTAGCCACCTTCATCCTTGATGTCGTGCGGGACCCCAAACTATGTGTGGAGGAGGCCTGGGGACCCCAGGGTGCTGTGCTGCTAAACCAGGAGCCTTGCGTCTCTCGGGCAGAGACCTCCTCCAGCCCTTCTAGGACTGAGCCTGGCGGGGAGAGGACGCGCTTTGTCCAGAATCAAGCATCGTGTCACCTCACTGGCCCCCACAGGACTAAACGATCTTGCACATGTGGACATCTCTGCCACTCTCTCAGTTTATTTTAACTAAAGCACTGAAGGAATTAGTTCTGAATTCTAAATTGGCAGAAAGTATAATACCTAAATAAGATCAGCAGTACTCCCACCGGACCAACTGGAGATGAGACGGCTGTTCTCACCCAGTGCACCCATCCCAGCTCTTCACTTCTGGGTCCCAGCATTTAGAGATGGTGAAGGCGACCAAAGGTGTGGAGTCTCCCTTCTGCCGCATTTCTGTTGGGAATTTGCCAAACAGGACCTGCTAATATCCAAAAGGATGTATTCTCCAGTAAAACCGTGTTTGAACTTGAACAAGGATTCAGCGTTTAGTCATCTAGTGACCTTCACATAGAGTCACGGGGCTCTCCGCTCCGCCATGTGCTGCTGGGGGCACCTCCAGCTGCATTCTCAGAAGTACATAGGAGTCGTCCCATTTGGGGGCAGCTTAATATGCCCATTGCTATTTAGGTGTTTTTGGAAAATAAGTTCATTGGTTTCTTCAGCAAACCTTTTTTTTTTTGTGGTACGCAGGCCTCTCACTGCCGTGGCCTCTCCCGTTGTGGAGCACAGGCTCCGGACGCGCAGGCTCAGCGGCCATGGCTCACGGGCCCAGCCGCTCCGCGGCATGTGGGATCTTCCCGGACCAGGACACGAACCCGTGTCTCCTGCATCGGCAGGCGGACTCTCAACCACTGCACCACCAGGGAAACCCCAGGCCTAACTTTTTTAAGCTTAATTGTTTTTTAATTTGTGACGCTACAGTGGAATATAAAAATAATATATGTATGTAACTATGTAATATGTATGTACATATGCACATTTAACATGCATGTTTTATAATATATATGTATTATATGTATAATGTATTTGTGTAGTTTAAATAAGTGTGTATAATGTGTAGTCACCGTGTATCCCAGATTGTACGCCACCATGTAACCACCATCCAGATGAAGGAATAGAATGTTAACAGTATCTTAGACCAGGGAGCTACACTTTTTCTGTGAAGGGCAAGACAGTAAATATTTTCGACATTGTGGGTCACAGGGCTCTGTTGGGACTCTCAGACGTCTTACTTTCTCCCCCTCCAGTGGATGTGTAGCAGTAGCTCGTTGCTGTTTTAATTAGCATTTGTTGTTTACTAATGAAATTGGGCATTTTTTCATTTGTTTATTCATTAGTCAGTTTTCTTTATCTGCGAAGTGCCTGCTTGAGACTTTTTTACAGTTTTCACACTGGCTTGTCTGTCTTTCTTTCCTTGGTCAGTGGGAACGCTTACTTTGGTTTGGCCAGTAGATTTTTGTAAGTGGTACGTGATACAGATATCTTCTCTCAGTTTGTGTTCAGTCTTCACCCTTTAAAAAAGTTTTTAATTTAATTTTTCTGCCAGTTTATTGAGATATAATTGACAAACAGCACCATACAAGTTTAAGGTGTATGGCGTAATGATTTGACTTACGTATATTGTGAAATGACTATCACAATAAGTTTAGTGAACATCTATCATCTCATATAAATATGAAATTAAAGAAATAGAAAAAAATGTTGTGTGTGATGAGAATTCTTAGGTTTTAGTCTCTTAACTTTCGTATATAACATACAGATGTGTTATATATTATATATATGTTATACATACAGCTGTGTTCATTATATTCAGCTGTATTCATGATATTTATCATGTTGTACATTACATCCCTAGTACTTATTTATCTTAGAACCGGAAGTTTGTAGTACCTGTTGACCACCTTCATCCAATAGCCCCTCCCCGCACCCCTTGCTTTTAGTAATCACAAATCTGATCTCTTTTTCTATGAATTGTTTGTATGCTTGTTTCTTTGTTTTTAGAGTATAATTGACCTAAAACACTATGTTAGTTCCTGTTACACAACATAGTGATTTTTCTTCTGTTCATTTCAAAATGATCACCAGGATAAGTCTAGTTATGATGTGTCACCACAAAGATATTACTTAGTTATTGACTGTATTCCCCACACTGTAGCTTTTATACCTGTGACTCATTTGTTTTGCAACTGGAAGTTTGTACCGCTTAATCGCCCTCACCTATTTCTTTCCTCCTCCCAGCCCCCTCTTCTCTGGTAACCACCTGTTTGTTCTTTGCATCTATAACTCTGTTTCTGTTTTGTTCTGTTTGTTCATTTGTTGTATTTTTTAGATGCCACATTGAAGTGAAGCCATACAGTATCTGTCTTTCCCTGTCTGACTTCTTTCATTTGGCATAATGCTTCTAGGTCCATCCATGTTGTCACAAATGACAAGATTTCGTTCTTTTTTTATGGTTGAGTAATACTGCATTGTATATGTGTGTATATACCACATCTTTATCCATTCATCTCTCAATGTATACTTAAGTTGCTTCCATATCTTGGCTATTGTACATTATGCTGCAACTCCAGTTTTTAATGAAGTTGTTTGGTTTTGTTGGTGTTGAGTTCTATGAGTTCTTTGTATATTTTGGATTAACTCCTTATAAGAATATATCATTTGCAAATATCATCTCCAATTCAATGAGTGGCCTTTTTGTTTTCTTGATAGTTTCCTTTGCTGTGTGCAAAGGCTTTTGAGTTTGATGTGGTCCCATTTGTTTATTTTTCCTTTTGTTTCCCTTGCCTGAGGAGACGTATCCAGAAAACACTACTACGATGGATGTCAGAGCACTGCCTATGTTTTCTTCTGGAAGTTTTATGGTTTCAGGTCTTACAACTGATTAAATAGACTGTAATCTATTTTGAATTTATTCTGTGCATGGTGTGAGAGAGTACTCCAGTTTGAGTCTTTTGCATGTAGCTGTCCAGTTTTCCCAACACCACTTATTGATAAGGCTGTCTTTTCCCCATGGTATATTCTTGCTTCCTTTGTCATAGATTAATTGCCCATATAAGTGTGGGTTCATGTCTGAGCTCTCTATTCTGTTCCGTTGATCTATGTGTCTGTTTTTGTGCCAGTAGGATACTGTTTTTATGATAGTAGCTTTGTAGTTTAGTTTGAAATCAGTTAGTGTGATACCTCCAGTTTTGTTCTTCTTTCTCAATACAGTTTTGGTTATTTGGGGTCTTTTGTGTTTCCATACAAATTTTTGAATTATTTGTTCTAGTTCTGTGAAAAATGCCAGCAGTATTTTGATAGGGATTGCATTGAATCTGTAGATTGCCTTGGGTAGTGTGGTCATTTTAACAATATTAATTCTTCCAACTTATGAACATGGTATATCTTTCCATCTGTTTGTGTCATCTTCAATTTCTTTCATCAGTATCTT